TTTAATTAATAAATTTTCATATAAAATTGATGTAATAAATCTTCACGAAAAAATTATTCAATATTTATTTCACCCCCTGTATATTGATTCATATCTCATTATGAACTTAACCAAATTCCTTGAAACTGTTTATGCCAATTTTCAAAGGGCATTCAGTTGATAAAAGAATCCGCAAATCAAAATAGGTTCATTCATCAAGGTATTTTATTAATAGATAATCTGCATGTATGCATTTTGATACGAAACCACATGACATCATTTCGTAAATTAACACAAAAATTCATAACCATTGTTATACATTTGTTATCGTTTATAGACATCAGATTTTTAACAATAAAATTCTAGTTTGGGATAACTGTATTCTCATTCGAAGCAAGCCATTTGTAAACTGGTGTGATATTTTTGTCCGTTTCCATACATGATACATTATATTCATAAAGAATTTCCTTGTTAGATTCAAAAACTGACTATATAAAGAGATTGGAAATAAGCATTAGCATCAAACAATTTAAGTGATTTTATAGTAAAAATAAATATATTACTTTGACAGTAAAAAGAAGGTTAATAATATCGGTAACATTAGGAAATGACGAATAATTGAAAGAATAATTTACTTTCAACATACTTTCAGCAACAAATGTTCTAGGAGCTCTTAGGTTCACCCTAAATAGTTCGCCTTCATGTTCTACACAATAAGCAAATACCTTAATAAAATGTCTCAGAACATATAATTAACGATACAAAATACTTACTGTGTACCACGTATGCTAATACGTAGTATTTAGATACTAATTTTACATTCCCGATTCCAAGCCAAAACAATCTACATATTGAATCCACACAATTCCGAAAATTTTTGAGAAGATCCTAATGATATTTATCATTCTTTGTTTCTAAAGGCAGACCGCTATTTTCAAAAATTAAAAATTCATGATTGCTATCATCATACAGACCCCTGCCAAAAGTTTCTGAACACTTTTTTACCCAATATTAAACTCAAAATTTTTATGCAAAACAATAAAA